CAAAGAACCCGAAGTAATGATAATTGCGTAGGTCAGCATTCCTGTATTTAAAATTTAGTGACCAACGTATACCTGTCATCTATTATGAATCGTACATGATTTAAAATCATTTAATTTGTTTTGAAATTCTTAATTTAAAAGATGTGAATAATGGTCAAAATACACCAATATACCATGGGATATAGCCCTTGCAAAATGTCATCTATTACGAATCGCACATGATTGAAAATCGTTGAATTTAGCTACCATTCAGTTAACATAATGTAAAAGATGTGAAAGAAAAAGTCAAAATACACCAATACCATATGCAAAATGGCCTTAAAACTGACTACAAATCGACGACTCGCATACTGTATGCAGGAGATACTACTTGTGGCCATTGTCCACATACATGGCCCACATGAACAAGACTTACCTATATCAAAGCCTAATTGCTTAACGCCTATAACCTTGCTTATATTAATAGTTTATCATGATGCAGTCCACACAGAAACATCCCGAATTATGACCCAGTTTTCTAGCTTTTTGGTGAACTTGATTCTCAAACATTTGACAGGGAACGTAAGAACGTCTTGAAGGTTCCTCAAATCCTGTACGGGGTCTCCAAACTTGGCCAACACCTGGCACTTGTCCAGGTCACAGGAAAAAGATTGCTGCTGCTCTTTTTCAGGGCATGCCAACAGAACTGCCATGCTAGGTATATCTCTCAATAACTCTGAACCCGTCGATACTAAAATACGAGATAACTTGATGGAATCTTTAAAAGTGATTTGAACATAGTCGTGTTGTTTGGGAGCCATAGACCAAAAGAAGCCAGGCTTTTCACTGTACAAGTTGTCAACTGTGTGTTGCTGGTCAACGGTAATGAGCGATGTCTCCACTTTTGCATCTGGTCTCTTGCTTTCTTCTTTGTGTAGAGAAAACAGTTGTGTATTGGAGTTGATAGTTTGCTTTCTCGACTGCCTCGCGAACTGATAGTCGAAGATAATACTGGGTGCACTTTTCAGGCCAAACATGGCGTAAAACTCTGAAAACCGTTGCAAAACACTAGATGGATATACGTTGAAGTCTGAGAATGACAACGCGAAGTAGCGGGAATTGTTGTTTCTTTGAACCATGACCTTGATATCTGGTACAAACCTGGCATTAGCGATGGTTTGATCAGAAACATGTAAGACATGATCTGAGATCTGGTGCGAGTAGAAAAGCAGGAATCCCATGATCTTGTTGAATGCTATGAGATTGCTCCTGAAGTCCTGGGAGTACTGTCTGAAGTAAACATCGCCAAGAGCTGGTCGTCTCGACAACACGCGGATATACTCCGCTGTAGGTGATACTACGTGAATTAAACCAGATTCCATTTGTTGACTGAAGTATTGATTGAGAAGCTGCTGGACTTGAGGAATGTAATGCTGGCTCACTGAGATTACTATGATGACGTCATTGGCATCTTGAGTCACGTGTTTTACGAGTGAAGACAGCGTTGGACGAATTTTCTGTACGTTATAATCCCAGATCGCCACGCCCACCGTCAGGAATACTGTAACAGAAAATATAGTCAGCATACGAGTTGTTTTGCGCATGTGCAAGGGTCAATTATGGTTTAATGGGTGTTGCATGGTGTGATGGGTGATGCTTGGTGTGCCTAGGCTCTTTTGTAAAGGTGCAAAGGATCAGTCGCTCTGTACCTTTTCTTGATATTGGTTTTCCAATAACTAAACCTTTATTGAAGTCAACGCCATTCAGAAGCGAAGAGCACTTATCTGGCAGGAATGAAGGATCGCACTCTAAAGGGTCACTTGAGTCTCTGATTTGCTGGACTGTCTGGGATGTGCAGGTGCTGACTTCCAAACCTTGTTCTGATAATAATATCGATAATCATCATCATCATCATCAACATAAACACCGTCCTCCACCATCATCATCATCGATAATAATCATCAACATAAACACCATCCTCCACCATCATCATCATCGATAATAATCATCACCACAAACACCATCCACCACCATCACCATCATTATTACCATCTTATCATCTTCACCATCAACGGCAGAGTAATAATAATGATGATGATGATAATGATGATGATGCCGGCGAAGCCGTCTTCTTCGCCTATACATTGAACACCAATTCACCAATTACAATATGACTGTTATTTTCAATGAGTACAAATAAAATCCGTACAAATAAAGTCGTCGTAGTAAACACGACACAAGGATGTTTTGATCACGAACTTATTCGACTGCAAAAACTACCAACAATTTGATTGGGTGTAACCATATTTATAACATTCATAGCCGTAAGTTAAACTTCACTTATATTAACACGGGTCTAAAATCCACCATATAAATCCCTTAATTTAGACTGCTTCTTTTTGGATCCTCGTAATTTTTCAATCGTGACACGTTTCTTAAGTTAAGCCAAAAATGGAATTTCATTTTATTCACTTTAAAACCACCGCTAAGGTATTCATATTAGAAAACAAATCTAACTTACTTGAGAGCAAGACCCATATGTTCGCTACTATTAACACGAATATTAGAACCTGTAGCAAACCATCTAAGTTGATCATCGTGTTTCTTCAACAAGTCCTCTGTTCAGTTGTGTCGTCCTAGTCGGCTGGCTACGAGCACATGCTCTCATGCTTGTTAAGTTGATACGGTTTCCATGGACATAAAATCTGGACTTCTGTTTAAGACTGGTGTATTTTGAATTAATAGGTTTTTAAGAGATAGAAGTTTTTAAGTGTAAACAATGAAGTGCTTTTTAAGGACTACTGAACACGTTCCAAATCATTGGCGCTGACAAATACTAAAAATAAGTTTAAAGACAACAAGGAAACGATCACAACAACGAGAAAATGTGTGTAAGATGATGAATTAGTAACTCCAAATTAAAGATGATTCTTCTCGGCCAATCGTAACGGTTGTGGTGGTACCGAATGTTTCTGAAGTATTGACGGTTTTAATAGCTTTTCGTTCTTTTTAACATTATTTCGATAAAATGCTAATCTTTCTCGTATCTGAAGGATGGCATGACATTGAAATGGCTTCTTCCCGTCCTTTTTAATGGCATTTCTTCAACTACATTGCTATTCTACATTGCAATTTATGTTCGAAAAAGAAGCATGACATTGAAATGGCTTCCTGTTCTTATTTTGGTAATATTTCTTCAATTGCATTACTATTTTTTCTCGTGTCGGAAAAAGTGGTATGACTTTTATTCATCCCTTCGATAAGATTTTAATCTTTCGCGTTTGTCGGAGCAGTAAGACATTGAAATGGCTTTTATATCGTTATGTTTCATTCAGTAATGATTGCTTTAATTATAGTGATTTTAAAAAAATGTAATGTACGAGAGAAAAATTTTTCCTTGTCTAGGGAAGTTGTTGCGATCGAAGCAGGATAATAATACAAAAAGAAGATTTGAAGAAAGTTAACATTGATTATACTAGAGCACCATAAGGTAAAGCGTCCGTAAAAGAGATGAAGAAAGAACATTGACGAAGCAAGCCGTGGTAGTGTTTATTTTCATTTACCATTATTCATCATAAGTATGAAAAATGAAAGCAAATTCTATTTCTATTTACAATCTTACTGTACGTATCAAGAAATCATCAAAATATAGTTAATACAGTAGAATCATTTATCTCATAAAGTCAATACAAGTTCAAATACATTAGCCATCCAAGACATATCAGTAAACTGATCATTCATTTTCTATTCAGAATGTAAAAGTTGTTGTAGCAGATTCTTGTAGTTAATGACCTTGACGCGGTCTTTGGGTCCAATCTTTTCCTGAAAAAGGAAAAAAAGAAAAGATCATTGTATTTACTCCAGAAGTTGTCATTTATTTTGGTTTTTTGACAGACACCCCAGGAAATGAACCGAACCCCGCAGGACGTCTGCAACGGAGGCTAAGGATGATAGCAGAAAATGTTTTAAATATTATTTTACTGCATGACATGACACGATATGATAACTCAATAGAAATTCAACGACATTCAAGTTTTATCTATATCCTAAAACAAGCTCTGGGTTAATCATTGCTATAAGATGGAATTGGAACTTTTAGCTTGTTAGGTTTTGCGGAGGCAGGAAAACAGGAGAAAAAAACCCCAAAAAACAATGGAAAATATATACTAAATATGGATAAAAAAGCTATATAAATCCTTGAACCAGTTGCTTGACTTACCGAAGGTTTTGCCTCGGGAGCTTGTATGGGAACAATCTTTTGTAAACTCACTGCAATGAAAAAATCATAAAAATCGTATTAGTATTTTTACACGAGTGAATATAACCAAGACTCGAAATATTCCCCGATATTCACTCTGCCTTCGGCGATAGCATTGAACAAATTGATTCAAATCGTTGTTCAAATGACTAGTTTACCTGGAGAATCTCGCCAGTTGATAAGCTTAAGGAAATGATCGTATTTGACCAAGCCTTGGTCGTTTCTTTCAGTCTGTGAGAGTATAACATCCAATAATTCCTGCTTGGCGGGAACTTTAAATCGCAGGCATAAGTTATGAAGGGACTTGGCTTCCAAGGTGCCAGTTCTGCGAAGTAAAATAATAATAATAAGGTTTTGAGTGAGTATTGAAAAAGAAGATTGAAAAATAAGGGAAAACTCATGTTTGAATACTTTTTTGTTTTATTTCACAGCTACGTGAAACTTCTCTATTTCTGTCAACAATTTTTTGCTTCAAGAACTGAAAATTTAAATACATTTATCCAAATAGCAGTATACCAGTTAGGTCAATACCTGTTGATATCTTCATACTGACAAGCTTCCTTCATTGCCGTGAAGTCTTCAAAGTTAGCTTTTCTTAATTGTTCTTGAACGGAAGCGATGATCATCGTCAGATTACCAATATCAGCCTGTGAAGATGGAAAAAAAAGTTCAGCCCTCTTGCTCTCAAGATCCGTTTGTTGGAACACCACCAAGAAACAGATGATTTCCCGTAGAACCACCAATGTATAAAAACAAGTGAGATAACTAAATTACTAATAAATTATTAAAATTATTATTATTTATTTTAGGAGGACCGACGTAAATAACTTATTTTCCCCGTTAACTTTTTATCTAGTTTCGAATTTCATTATTATTATTTTTGTTTTTTTTCGGCAATCAATTATTCCATGATACTGGACTGTGATCATAGATTGAAAATAAAGCACTCTGAAACAGCCAATCAGAACGCACGATTCTTGCGATACCGGACAGGGAAAAAAATCTCACCTTCTCTTCAGCATAGTATCTACATAATGTTAGCATCTCATGTTCTGACAGACCAGCTCCAAATCTTTTTAGCACAGACCTTAATAAGAAAAGACAATTTTGTTATCTTTAGCTTAAATCAGGGTGCAAAACACTAAACAAAAATATTCGTGGTCACGGCGTCGTGCGGCGTAAATTCGTAACCTAAGCAGCACATGTAATATATTTTTATCTTGATGGTGAACTTACCAGAAAGCAGGGAAAGAAATTTGTCCTGAATTATCAACATCATTTTGACTGAAGACAGATTTGAGTTCTTCATAGTGTTCATCAGCGACTGATTGAAGTTTTGGTAGGATATGCTCCATGTTGGCTTTGGAGAACTCATATTTGTGCTTCTCCATGTATTCCACGGCATACTCATCTGCATCAACGAGAATGAACTCGTGGTTGAAGAACTGCACGTTGGCACCTATATACAGGTTCTACAAAGAAGTTGAAGTATCTCTGTTATTTACATGAAAATGTAGACTGGTATATTGTAATTTTTAGCTTACTTTATAAATTATTATGTGGTGGTGAGATGTTTAAGGAATGAAGGAAAGTTTATGTCACCTTTTCTTCTATAATCAATCTATCAATCAATCATTTATTCAACCATTTATTCATCCATCCATTCATCCATCTCAATCATTATATTTACTCAGCTACTTATTCATCCCCTACCCACCCACCCACCCATCTCATTCATCCATCCCAAACTATCCATCCCTATCATCTATCCAACCCTTCAAACAGTCACTATCCTCTTTTATCAATCATCTGTTCTTCAAGCATTAGACATACCTGTGCTACATAGTAACTGTCTTGATCAGGTTTCTTAATGCGTCCTCTCTCCAGGAATTTCCCTCCAAGAATACCAGAGTTTCTCTGTGGTGGCTCAAATACCAATATGGTATCATCCGACAGGAAGTATGAGATGATAAACCTTCTGTCCATGTCTATGGGTCGACTTGTGTTCATACGGGCCATGAATCTTAGCACATTACTCTCTAGACCATGCCTGTATCAACAATAAATAATTTTTAAATCAAGCCTTCTTCACATACAGCAGAAAGACTATGGCGGAGGTGGGTTTCCTGTGTTGAGAAAAAACTAAAGGTCTTACCTGTCTTTTTCCATAAATTTGATAAAATCTCGTTTGGGTGGTTTAGGGATAAGACTAAGGCATGAACAGAGCGAATCCTCTTCTGAGCCAAAACCATTGTAAGGTGGAATCTCACGAGGTGGGAATACGTGAGGTGGTGCCTTGTACTTGATGGAATCAAATGAATCTAGTGGGAAAAAAATATATAAGGCTTTACTTTATCTGATAATTATAGATAATCCAAAAATCACCATGTCAGCCAAAAGAAGGGACTGAAAGTTGTACCAAGGTACCAAGTGTCTAGTCATTCTAGCGCTTTCGCACTAATTTGGGACACTTTTAACTCTAACTCGCACTACCACTACATTCAATATCCTATGCACACAACGCTCAACTCACATGTCGATTTTTACGGAGGGAGGAAACCGGAGAACCCGGAGAAAACCCTCGTAGCATAGGAGAGAACAACACATCAAACAAACTCAATTCACATGTGGTGACGGCAGGGCTCGAACCAGTGACCCGAACCGTTGGACTCACAGCGGTGAAAGACGATGCGTTAGCCGCAAACGCCACCCATGCTACCCACAATATTCTTCTACAATTGAGGTTGGTAACGTGTCAGAGTGGGGGTGGTTCTCAGGGGGGGAGGTTGAGCAGGAATATTTTCTAGAACTAATTACACAATAGAATGTTTGTTGAATTAAATTTTTACCTAGTCCATATTTGGTTCTGTAAAATTCTTTGGTGAAGTCATCACAATCACAAACCAGGAACTTCCTCCCCCACACATTGATGACAGACCCCAGGGTGATGTCTTGATCAAGATAATGATCTATATGGACAGCACCAGTCTATAGAAAAACAACAATACAATAACGATTATCACATATACATGGAGGACATACTTATTAACCATAATATTGTGAAGACCTATTTGTTAGGAGAGAGATGTGTTTACCTTTAAGCTATCGAGAATCCAGCGCCCACCATGTCCCATTGGTCCAAACACATTTAACACAGTGCGACCAGTTATTTCACCAGGCTGATGTAATGGCACTGGTTCCTTTGAGAGAGACAAAGATGGGAATATTAGAAATTCTGACTTAGTATTAAACTGCTGAAGTCCAAACATAATCTTAAATTGTTATCAATTTTAGCATAATTGGAATAATCCAATAGGACATACTTTGGGTAACTTTTGACGGCGTAAAAATACTGGCGCAGCATCCCGACCAGCATTAGGATTGATGACTTCTCGGATCTCTACAGTGTCATCGGCAAGGAAATAGTGTAATATCATTTCACGAGCATCACCAAACATGCTGTCACTATCATCCCACAGGCAATAAAACCGCAACACTCGACGATCATATTGCAAGAACTGCTTGAGTGTGTCCTCTTTCTCATAAGGCCTCAGAGGTTGCATGCTTCCTACAATCTAGAAATTAGAAAAGCCTTGGTCAGTAACCAAACAGTATAAAGCACATTCATCGACTCAAGCTTGGATCTCATAGGAAGTGAGAATTAGGATATTTTTACCTGTTTACGGTGGTCTGAGTAGGGATCACTAGGGGTGGTAGATGATGGTGTGACTCTAACACCAAGCTTTCTGAGGAAGTTGTGAGTAAACTCATCACAACCTGTGATCTTAAAAATCCTGGAGTAAAAATTCATTTTTTTTCCAACATTGAAGTGTTCAACAGTGTAAAACTCCTCATCACCAGGAGGAGGAAGTGGAATACGATGACGGCGAATCAGAGTACCTTGAGGAATACCACTGTTTTCGACTTTTGGTTCAATTACTTGGATACTGTCATCTTCGAGATAGAAATAGATTTTACACCTACAAAGGAAAGAATATAAGGAATGCAATTGAGAAATTAGTCAGAAAGGAAAAAATAATTCTGTGGCCTTCTCTACTTACCTTCGTATTCTGTATTGTTCTTCGCGCTTCTCATGTACAGCTTCTTGGAAATAGGCATCAAAGCACAAGACTTGTCTGTCAAAGGCAACCCAGGATGGTGCTTCTGGACCGACACCTTTTGGGAAGTGACTGTGTCTTGGATTCAACTTTTGGCCTGGCAGAACATCTCCTCCTTTTTATCAAAAAAACAATTGCAAAGTTGATGGAAATTTTAGCTTTAAAATTTGCTTTGCTGTAATTTTGTTGATCATTTGTTGTGACAAGGGATTGGACAGAATATCCTTTTGATATCGCATTACAAATTTGTTTGAAGGTCTCTGATTGGTTAGCATATTTGTTTATTTATCAGGAACTTCAGCTTCAACTTCTCCTCCCTCCCCTCCCAAATAAAAAAATAAAATCAATGATTCTTTAGATTCAGAACCCATTTTCCTTTTACATTTCTTAAATAAAATAAGTATAGAAATAAAATAAAAAATTCAGAATATTTAGAATATTTCAGCAATTATTTTCCGTGAAAAAATCATATAATCTTATCGATTTATTCTATCACGATGGTCGTTTTGCACCAGTCTATAGTTACAGTAAATATACAGAGAGGTCCAGAAAGAAAAATCAATAATGATTTTAATTATTAAGATGGCGCAGTATTCTATCTGAAGGCTGACAGCGGGAAACAACATTATCCCAGCGTTATCCCTAACATATATTGAGTAAAAAGGAAATTATTTCATAGATAATATTGGTCATTTAGCTAATTTTTTCTTGGGTAGAAACAGAAGAAGAGAAGTAAGCAGTGAAAGTGTTCCTGGGAAGTATCCAAAATTGAGTTCTTTTTCTCAATGAATTTGAACGCTTTTAACCAAAACTCGGCAATGAATCCCAAAAACTTTGATAGAAAAGAGACAAAACTGTTCTTAAAAGCCACATTTTACTCACCAATACCACATTTACTCTCTCCAACATACTGAGAAACATCATTACGATAGTCAAACTGGTGTGTCTTGTGAAACTTTGTCTTCCCAATCTACACCAAGAAAAATACATTAATTTTTCAACGAAAGAGCTAAAAAGACTCGCTAATAAAAGCCTTGAAGGATAGTTTTAGGTATATTCTGTTACCTTTCGGTCAAAAACCTGTCCGGGAAGGAAAGGAAGAGCCATAATTGTTGTGGTAGTCGAAGTAGATATGTTTGTGAGTCTTGCTTGGTGATGTGAATAGTAAAGACAGCTTGTTACCAAGGGCTGTGTTTCCCCTAGCAACCACACCACAACGAGGCCAGCAATATAATTAAAATACACAACAGATATACTATACGATATAAGAGGTTATGGAACTCCAACATGGTTTTATTCCATAACATTAATCTTAAAGCAAGAGTGCAAGTCTTATGGCGAGGAGACATTTATGATGGAACTGTTAGATATACTGGAGTTTTAGTGGCGCGAGAAGGTGAATGGGTAGGGGTCGACTTAGATCGCGCAGGTACTGTATGCCTTTAACACTTTTTTTTTCTTAATGCCAATTGAACTCATTATGATAAATCATAGTATATCATACTATTTCATGTTCCTTGTTAATGGAATTCAGTATTTTCCTTTAAAACATTAAATCCAAGAAGAGGGATAGCAGAATTTTGATAGCTGAAATGCCTTCGCTTTGCGTGTTCTGTTTGATGGACTCCCAATCTTTTCATTAACTCATATATTTCTTTAATGTCAATTTATCGTCTCCTAAAGACATGTTCATTACTGGGGATTCTACAGTTTGATACATCGTTAAATCAAAATAGTAAAAAAATGAAAACAACCTTAGCGACTATGCTTATTATTCGATGACCATACAATAATATACTATTAAAACAATTAAGATTGTATTGATTAAATTCAAACATGTTCTAAACACACACGCACCGCGTGGAATATTGTCCAAGGTCATTAATTTAAAGGCTTGCTGTTTTTCTTACAGTTTGCGATGGCAATAATGGCTTGTTTCGAGGAGTACAGTATTTCACTTGTCGTCCAGGGCACGGAATCTTCACGCGTGCAAAAAATATACGCTTCAAGCAGAACAAAAGAACGTAAGCTCACCAAAGATATATTCATTAGAAATCCATTGCAAATGGAATAATTGTCGGATAAAAAAAAACCCGAATGAGTTAATTTCTTATCCTAATGTTCTTTCGTTTTGTCCACAGGTTGTTCAATAGCTACAAAACTATTTCTCCTGTTTCAAGCGTGGATACCACTCTCTTTGAGAGCCGAGGTTTTAGTTTTCCTATATTTCACCCTGTTTTTAATCTTCTACTTTTAATATCGATAATAGAATATAAACCAATGTTGGTTTGGTATCAGTTTAATAAAGATATTCTAAAAATATTAAAAACGTCCTGACGTAGTTAATGTAAAGAAAGTTAAATTTACGTTACCATAGCAACCGAAGTTCAGTTCAGACTGTCAGTATATTGAGCAGTCCCCATCCACTTTATCCATTTCACGCGTTATTCTCTTGAGTATTAATCATTTGTCTACTATATATCACCCCAGCATGAATTTTGATACACACATATTTTGTGCCTAATCAGAGAATTATTTTGAAGTTGGATTTCTAGATTCACCCAGTGAAAAGGAACAAGACGCTCCTGTTGTGACTTCAACATACTTAGAACAACTCTTCAACAGAGGTATGCACAAAATATATATAGTCTATTCTGCCAACCTGGAAGATGTAAAACCTTAATATCTTACTCCACTACTTCCCTATATTCTTTTTTCATATTTTTCTCTCTTTTCATTATGCACTAGTCAATTGAAACCTCCACACCTTCTCCCCAGGGTCAGGACAGGGAATTAATGTGGTGAGACTGGGGTATTTCAAATAGGTATTTTACAGAATAAATGCAGGTATAAGGGGAATTTAATGCAATGGTATTATTCTTAGATTCTGCTAAGAAAGATCTTTGGTGCAGTCAGAAAGGGTTCCATAAAAGTCATCTCGTCGGTAATCACATCAGACCAGCAACAGCCATTGGTGGTGATCTACACAGGAGCTTTAAACCCCAGTATAAGACCCCCTTCATCAGCACACCATCTATCACAGCTACCCATGTACCCAGATCTAGTCTGAAGAGAATGATTGAACAAGATTACTTTGGCACTACTATTCCAAGATATACCAGTCTTTCATAATGGAAGTTTCTTTTTAAATTTTTTAAAAGCCTTTTTTGTAATACATTTTTTATAAACAAAAAACAAATAAAATTTTTTTTGATTAGGTGCAGTTGTTTGGCTAGCCTGCGTAGCGGCCCACCCCTCCCCAATTTTGGCCGCTACGCACGCTATTGTTTGGCCATTTGACACCCTATTAGGGACTCTAAGATGTCATGGTTTGGGATATATGTTCTTACCCTGGGTGCCAGAGGCCGTGTGGGGCTTGGGGGCGAGAGAGAGAGAGAGGGAGAAATAAATAAATAATAAATATATCAGAATCAAACCACGAGTCAAGTAGACATAAATTTGAACTTTATTGTTTGGCTTCTGACATCAAATGGACAAATAAACCTTTATTTAACAGTATTTTAGCTTGGAAACCAAAGATCTCTCAATTACACTCAACTAAGAGAGGAAAATGAACTTGTGGAAAGAAAATGTGTCCACAGAATACCATGGAATCTGAGTTACCCTCGTAAAGAGTTGATTATGTTATCATCTATGAAATAAGTTAACATACTTGATCAAATGTATGTTACACAAATATTTATGTACTTCTTTGAAACTAGTTTTGCTTTTTTTATCTTAAAAATATTCAGAGCATTAGATGTACATATGAAGTAAAGGCCAAGTTTAATGATTTCATGATCTGAGTAACGTTACCTTTGATAAACAGGAATCATTAAATATTGGAACCATTTAACATGCTCTTTACATGCGATAGCTCTGTTCTCAAACAACTCACATGAAGGGAAAGAAGACAGGGAGCTAGGAATCTCCTTTGTCCTTACGTTCCCCAGCATTTCTTGAAACAAAAACATGCAAGTTATAAATTTTGATAATCTTTTCATTATTTACATCAAGAGTTGCCTGTAGAAGGGAGGCCTGTATATCATCTAGTTCCAGAAATCATTCATACCCACCCCACGGAGGAATTAGGAATTTCCAAAGGGTGGGGGGCCAGAGAAAGAACAAATATTACAGAGTTTGTATGGAAGAAATTTGGAATTTCTGGGGGTAGGGGTGTCTTTAAAAAATTCCGCTGAGGGGGTATGGATAAGTTTTGGAACTACACATTCTTGTCCAGAAATATGGTTTATCAAACTATTTCGAAAAAAGCGAAAAAACCTACCTAGCCTGAAAATATGACCGCATTTTCAGAAACCTTGGCTTACAAAAGCAATAAAACCTTTTCCTTGGTTTCTGTGTTGGAATGGTTGCCACAAAAATCTGTAGCATTTATGGATGATTGTATTGAAGTAACTTGCTTTTTCTAGCCAAGTTGCATGGGATTCTCATTGAATGTCTCAATCCAAAATAAAAATGCAACAATGCAAATTGCCCAATAAATATCAGCTCTAAATATGATTCTTCTTAGATTAACATACTAAGATTTCTGTACAGATGCCTGCATTTGGGATTGTAATGCATAGGATTATTTGTAATTTGTAATTATATCTTTTCTGAAAATTAAACTGAATTCAAAGACAAAGCAAAAAATATAAAATGTGATGAAATTCCTTATTCTTCATCATGTTCGTCATCAATGATTAAATCCATTAATTTTTGTTGCTTTTTTGGTTTGAAAAGTATGAAATTTTTCTAATAAGTTACGAAAATGTGAAAAAATTCCTTTATACTAAAGGCCATTGTGCACTAAATTTTAGCAATGTTATTGCACTATCATTGCATTCTCTTTTGTAGTTGGTTACCTTTCGATTTGGTTGCAATAAAACTGCAAGATGTTGCAGCCACAATGGGAAACTAAGTTTAATCTTCGGCATTATCTATGCCCTACCAGAATTAGGTAAAGCAATAAACATCTATCAAAAATATTAAATCAACTACTTGCTATTGAAATATTTAATCTTTTTTTTCTCCACATGTACTATGTTTTCTTCAAGATATTACATTCCCAATGCATCAATTATACATACTATTAGAAAATATCCCAATTCAAATTTGATTCACATTCCCTTATGTTATATTTTCTTCTTATACAGACTCCTATTTGGCAACTCCTTATGACATATGCTTTAGTATGAAGAGAAAAACATACTCTATAATTTCCTATATGTATTCCTTTCTATCGAAATTGAAATCTAAATATATGTAGAAAGTGGTAAATACTGATAACCATCTAAAACTGGAAACAACAGAACTCTTCACAGCTGATTTAACTTTGTATGATCTCCAAAGTACAAAGTCATCAATCAATCTTTTATCATCAATTTGGGATTTATATAAACAATAGTTTTGAGCAAACTTTATATTATATATTTTTATCACTACTATATCAAGATATTAATAATCAAGAATGAGAAATCTTGGGTAACAGCATTGAAATTCAACACTGAAAATCGTGTTGGCTTAAAACAAATACATATTTTCTAATAAGTTTAAAGAAATACTTTCAAATGAATAAAATAAAAAGTGCTTTTTCATTAATAAATTATGCAATTCCCCTCCCAAAACTGGATTATATTAACTCAATGTAACTCTTCCATGAATTGAAACTTTAAGACAAAATAATATAATATGATAGATATCAAACAAAGAGCAAAAAAACAAACTGATTATGTCCTAGAACATTAGTTGGCCAGCAACTATTCCTTAGTTAAGGTTGACAAATATTCATCGCATCCTTATCGTATTGACTATAATAGTTAGTAATAAGAAATGAAGAAATGGTTATTTCTTGCATCGGAAACTTGTCACTGACCATGCACACCTAAGTGTTGTTCAGTTTATCAATCAACGTAACTTGAGAAATGTCTTGCAAACACAAGCAGCACAGTTTACTTGTGGGAAATCAATGGTACATGCAATACCAACTCTTTCCTCAATGCACTGTGCTGTATTAAAGCCGTTATGGAAGCTGAGTCATCCACTGCAGCAACATCTAGGAAGGGAATTCCAACCAACCAATCAATCACTTACACATATTTGATGTCAGATTTGGCCAACAATGCATACTAGTTTTACTTAGAACACAACTGCCTTGGCTTGTCAAGAAGAGTTGTAAAATAGGGTGTGGCTTCTCAGTTCCACCAATCTTGTCCTCCTCCACCACCACTACCGTAATGGCGTCCTCCTCCACCATACCCTCCATAATTGTTGTATCCGCCGCCACCACCATATCCTCCATAAGGATTCATGTGCATATTGCTGCTAGGGGTGTGACCTCCACGCTGTTGACGGTAATCTCTGTTTCCACCAAAACCACTTCCATACCTGAAACACATTATGATAATTATGTATCAAAACTTGGTTTATCGACCTAAATACCTTTCTTAGATACTACACCTGCTCTTTTTTAAGCACTTCATGACAAACTAAAATCACCACAAGGAGGAATATAGTTATATATATTACAACTACCGCTCCCCATAATGGGGTCTTCTGTGAGATTCGGTCCACATGCACTACCACTACTGACAAGACCAATTGTCCACCAAATGGATCCCTGCTACAAGCCCTCTGAAGACAGCCTTTGAAATGTCCTGAATTTAAATAGGGCATAGTGAAGGATTAACTTATTCCCTACCTTCTTCCTCCTCTCTTGGAGCTATTAGACTCATAGGAAATGGCCTCCAGCCAAGATGGCACTTCTTGTCCTGTTTCTGTCACTAGAGCAAGGAGATCCTTGGCAACATTCCTGTTCTTTTCATTGAAGAAGGATGTGGCAAGACCTTGAAAGATGTGGATACACAATTTTAATTTTAAATCTTTTAGCCTGCCCCATTTAGTGTGGACAATTTCTTTACTTTTCTAAAGCACTAATAAGTTGCATATCTGAAATCATACTATATCAGTTATAGAAAGCACACAATGTGCCCTAATGTGCTTAACCTTGGAAATATAATTAATAACATTCATATGCTTACCAGTATGACCTACACGCCCAGTACGTCCAATACGGTGCACATACTCCTCTATGTCAGAGGGCAGATCAAAGTTGATAACATGACGGACATTGGAAATATCCAGCCCACGTGCTGCAACCTAAAAAAAATCAAATATCAAAAACGATTAGCTTCATGAGAAGCTGATAAAACAAAACAAAAAAGATGTGTTATACATACAGCAGTAGCAACCAGAATGGGTGTTTTTCCTCTACGGAAAGAACTCAAAGCATCTTCCCTTTCCTTCTGGGAGCGGTCTCCATGGATCGATGTGCAGGCAAAATTCTCTTTGTACAAGAACATCTCCAGAGCATCTGCTCCTTTCTTGGTCTCAACGAACACCAAAGTCAGAGCATCTTTTCCTGAAATGTTGACAATTAAATCAAAATTAAAATTTAACAAATTCAAGATTCATTCTTGAGAAATTTTCCCATTACTAACATACACTGAGACTATAAATTCCAATTTAATCTGTAAATTTGAAAAACTATAGATGCGAAGACAGTTTGACTGTTCTGTTTTGATTGCTGGTGTATTTTAGGACTGATTTAAGACTAAAATATTCTGATTACCCGAGACTTCCAGCAGATCCAGAAGGAAGGATCTTTTCTCATATTCATCAACCCATATGATCTTCTGAGTGATGTTTTCACTGGTTGATCCAACCCTTCCAACAGCCAAGAAAATGTAATTGTCCAAAAAGTCTCTGGCAAGCATCTAGAAATAAGAAATATTGTAGAGATTGTCTTTGCAAATCATTGGAGAGAGAAATAAAGAGCAGTGTTCTGACTAGGAATTGCCTTCAAGGGGTCAAAGGGCCCACCAATCTGAAATTTAGGGACCAATTAGAAAAACCAGTTGGGCTAGTCAGACGTGAATCCCGCAATGGCTCGGCCTGATAAAAACCCTGGTAAGAAAATTGTTTGGGCTTCCTTTGTTAACTCTCTCGTAAGCGATCATCTCCCGTAAGCGACCACTTTCTCCTGGCCCCGAGGTGGTCGCTTACAGGAGATGGTCGCTTACAAGAGTGGCTGCTCAAAAAGAGTTGACTGTATACCACAATAAACCAACAACATTTGAAATTTTGACAATGTCTCCCAACAGTGTGGTAAGCCTTGGTAACTTTTAGGTTAATTATATATATTTAAAACTAGAATGACTTCTTGCATTCTGGCATTCCATTTACCTGGATTTCTTTAGGGAATGTTGCACTGAACATTAGTGTCTGCCTATCCCCTGGTTTAGGCATGGTATCTTGGTCAACAATTCTACGTATTTGGGGTTCAAAACCCATGTCAAGCATCCTGTCTGCTTCATCAAGGACCAGGAACCTGTTACATGATATAAAAGCTGTTATTAGTATACTATACAGCTATTGGAATCTGCCTCGACATGAAATGGAAAAACCACAATATACAAAGCGTAAGCTTATAAAATAAACACATCCAAACCAAAATTTTTCTATCAAATAAATTTTTACTTGATAACATCCAGGCCAATACGTCCTCGGTCCATCATGTCAACAAGACGTCCAGGTGTAGCCACGAGAAGATGGCAGCCTCTATCAAGTTCACGGAGCTGCCCACTTATGTCTGCACCACCATACACGACACATACGCGTACGAGAGAGCGATAAGAAAACTAAACATACAAAAAATATAAAGAATATTAAACATTACTGTTTCAAAAAAATTACAATAAATAGAATAGAATGAAAAATGTAAGGCCAAACAAAAAAATAAGTGTGTTTCCTGTTGTGCGACTGACCCTAAATTTCTTGCTGATTTTTGCGGACCCTAATATATATTTTTCATTCCCAAATGTACCACAGGGTTCCCAGTAAGCTCATTTCCACTGTTGTATCAGCAAAAAAATCCGATCCGACCTACCAACCCAAATTATTTTTCTCATGCAACAAGAAACACACTTATTTTTTTGTTTGGCCTAATATAAAACTTACTAAAATGTATTCATAAAATATTTGAGATGCTATCACTTATTAGTCAAATTGCTCAGTTCAGTTAGTTACTTTTCTTTTACTCAAAGAAGTAGCATTATTCTAACCTTTCTTGCTTCATCAAAGATCTGCACAGCCAGTTCTCTCGTTGGTGCAAGAACCAGGCTTACAGGGTATTGTCTTCTCCTGGAAGTGTGCTTGGCCTACAAATAAGAGTTAGAACCATATTCTATAGTATTTGCTTTGATGCTTTAAAGTCAGTGAGATAATTGGAAATCATAGTGGGTAGCCAATTAGAATATTGAAAAGTTTGTCCAAAACATGTCTGGGAACTTACATCTGGCATTTGAGGAGGTCCTTCCAGGAAGATTCTACTAAGAATAGGAATCAAAAATGCTGCAGTCTTGCCAGAACCTAAGGAAAAAAGGGGAAAGAAAGATTTTAAGTATAAAAGCAATAAGCTTTAAAACTCAGTGAGTCGATAATAATTATAACAAGTATTATGAAAGAAAGCTAGCATCTTGACTAATTTAAGCTGTGTTGCTGTATGATAAGAGTTAAATGATTAAAATGATATGAGTAACTTGAACACCTTGAAATAAACTATGATTGCATAGTATTAGGTCAGTTCCAACTATTTATGTGACATCACTGTAGGTATACCAAGAATATGTAACCATGGGGGGAGGGGAAGGAGGATAACAGTAACAGGCATCTGTTGTTTATTTACAGAGCATACTTTGCTTACCTGTCTGGGCACATGCCATCAAATCCCTTTTGCCCTTGACGATGGGAATAGCATATTTTTGGACTGGGGTTGGCTTGGAGTAGTTGGCTAACTGTTAGTTAAAAATAAACTATCAGCTCAAAGTTGTAAAATAAACACATTTAATGACAAAATTAAGTTGCAATCTGTTTTTAAAGACTTTCATGGACATTGCTTGCTTGCATCCTTTCTATGCACAAATTTAGTGAGCATTTGCAGTCATCCTGATGATGTCATTCCATTGTTTTGATAAGCAAAATATAATGAAAACTTCTTTAATCTCTTAGAGCTCTAAAACAAAGTCGGCACCCCTCTTTTTTATTTTGTTTTTTGAAAGTACTTTATGATACCGAACTTTAAGGGGAAAATTACATATTTTAGGCATAATTAGAATAGAATTTCATGTAATGTGATGGCTCCAAGTCCACACTTGTAGCCCAATAACATTTTATATTATAACTTTTTAACACAGATGTTAAAAGCTAACTAATTATTTGGTAAGTTTCTAAAGTTCTGGGAGAAATAGGGGTGATCAATTTATTTTTTCCATAAGGTATGGCTTATTTTTGACAGCTTTCCATGCCTACACTGTTCACACATTTTTACCATAAAAAGGGTGAACTTCCGTGCATTCTGCAACTTAAACGAAGTCTTCTTATTTGCTTATTTTACTTCTAGTATGATGTAGTTTTATCATGTAAAATTCGAAAAAATCCTTTTGTCCATGAATGCCCTAAAAAAAATTTATTTCACTCACCTTGATGTTGCTCATCAGGATTTCTCCTAATTCAACATCATTGAACTGTGTAAGTAATCAAATTATTTTTGTTAGATCAGCAAAAAAAAAACCTTTGTGGCACAGCAGCTACACTTATTCCCATGAAAATTAAAGCCTTTCTTTCTGTTCAAGCTCGGGTTGAAGATGCGAGACTAGCCTGTGGATCATAATAAGGGTCGGTAAGTCACCGGTCATGATGACTTGCCTTGTGTCTGGCTCAATGTTAATGGTCAAAGTAACCAGCAAGGAAAAGATTTGACCAGATAAGTTTCAATTCTGGTCAAACCCAATGTCCACTGGCTTTTTTTTAAAGCCCTGTAGCTGGGTAAAATCTATTGTTCTATCAATGGAAAAATAGCTGCCATATGTATGACTGACCTTCAAGATCTTCCATAAGTGGACCATTATATGAATGGCAAATAATGGAAATGGAAGAATTACTTACTGACTCAATGTTGGTAGGGCAATCTTTCCCAGTGGCCTCAACAGGAATGTCATCATACTTCTCAAAGTTAATACCAGAGTTGTTTCCAACAAATAGTTCCCTTAGAAATAAAGAAAACAATTTAGGCTGGCCAGATAAACTGGCATATTTTGCTCTGCATGGCCATGACTTGACCAGGGTATTAAATGGAATATGGCGAATAAGGATAGTGGTATAATTACCTTTCCAAACGGTCATTTTTTGGCTGCAGTTTAGACCAGTCCTCATGACGTCCTGACATCATATCTAGATTGCATCAAAAAAATAATCTTTTATGAGTAAAATTTATTGCATTAAATATATTATATTTATTTATTTGTTAAGAAGTTAATGTATTTATATATGTATATTATTACATTAAAAAAGTAAAGCTTACCTCTATCATTGTATCCTCCTTGGTTTGAATACCAGTAATCATTACCACCAGAACGATCTCTCCATCCCCCTCCACCTCTGCGGTTGTATCCACCACCACCACCACCATAGCCTCCGCTATAATTTCCTCGGCCACCACGGTAATTCATATCTTTAAAAGAATGAAGGTTTACAATTGAAATATTCTACCTTCCTTGTATATTTCTCAGAAAGCGACTTTTGATACTATGAAGCTATTAAGCATTGTACACTTCATCTATTGATTTAAAAAACTCATGTTTTATGATGGGCCACTAAACCTACATTGTAATTAATAAGTATTACAACTGTGCTAGAGTGCTTTTAGTCTCACTGTTGAATAGGTGACGTCAACTAAATTAGATAAGTTATTTACTATTTTAGCTGACGTCACCTAAATTTGAAACTACGAGTAAACAGCTACTGAGATCAGGGGAAGAAACGATGATACAAATGAATGTCTATTCACTCATTCTCTGGTAAAATAACCCCCCGGATTAGCATGACCATTATTTGGTGCGCTTTTACTATTTTAGGTGACGTCAACTAAATCGTTATCTAAGTTAAATAAATTTATCTAACTATTCAACAGTGAGACTAAAAGCACTCTATTTTTAAGGCTTTTGCATTTAGACATGTTATTGAATGTAAGATTACAGATAAAACACATAGATTTGGTAAAAGCCAAATGTCATGTTTTTACCAAATTTAGGTGTTTTATCTCGTATTCAATAGTAGTATGACTTATCTTATTTTTATAAACATTGTCAGGGAAAGCAGTGAAATGTGCCAAAACGCAATTGTCATTATAATCCCACATTTTATTCACTTTTTTTATTGTTTTAAGCATTTAAAATAAAAAATTACTAAAATAATTTCTAATCCCTAATTAAGATGATCTTTTGTTTCAACACCAAGATAATACCCAGGTCGCAAATCTCATTTGGTTTCCCATTTAGATTTTCTAGAGTGGTTTTACGTACTAAGTTCAGGCATCAAACTTTTTTTCCCTTCACCAGAAAAAGCTGTCTTTATAAATAAGAAGTCCAACGCCTGACCAGGACTTAACTATCATTGTTAATCTGATGTCTATCTGAAGCCAGATCTTCAAGTTATCATTTTTTAGCCAAGAAAGACAGAAACGTCAAAAGGTTAGTCGTTCGTCCCGACATATATTTTTCCCCTACTAGGGATTCATTCAAGATTCATCTAATGTACTATTTATCAACCATTACAAGTTATTTTATTTTTTGAATATCATAATTACTAATCTTAATTATAACGAATTAAAATATTGAGGAAGAATTTAACAGTTACAAAAACAGAGTCATAAGTCTACCCCGGGTGAAATTTTGTGCTATCGCGTTATATAATATAACAACCAACAAAGACCATTGTAAAACTAACCTCTATAGCCGCCATCTCTTCCTCTGAAGTCTCTTGGTGGACCCGGCGGAGGGTAATTGCCGGGATTTCTCGGATCCGGCATATTAAAATTCTGTTGAGGATTCCTTCGTAAATGAGGAGGGACATAACGCTCTGTAGTGTTAAAAAAGGGAGTCACAAAAGATGAACGATATTTTTCGCGGGCAAAAAAAAAAAAATGGATGGCGACCTGGCAGATAAATAATATAACATTTGACAAGGCCACATGCTTTTACAACTCATTTCATCTTGATTGTTAAGTATTCATTAGGAGGAATAATCTAAGTTACACTTGGATAATCTAAAGAAATGTCTCAAATCTTAGGAAGAATAACTGAGGAAGGGAATAGGGAAGACGGACAACAAAAGAGACAGTTTCGTCGCTTACGTTGTGGTGGTTGACTTTGGTTGATTCCAGCGCCGGGATGACGTGCGACACCGGAGTTTAAGTCTAGTCCAGCTAACTGCAAAAGAAACCATAAAACAATACATATTACCTTCCATACAACGACGAATACTTCTAAAACAAGTAACAACTAAGTAAAGGCAAAAAGAAATTTGACTCCACCAAAAAAATACCGGTGTATCTCACTGAATCAAAGCGATGCACCGGCGAAAAGAGAAATAAAACACGAGAAAATATTCACGTTTTAAAAAGGGCTTTTACCTGCTGGTCTAGACTCTGTTGGTTCCCATGGGCCACATAACTCATAACTGAAGTTGTCTTGAATCTTATCGAGTCGAAGAAAGGGCGATATTGAAGAAAAAAAGAGGTTTTTTAGGCCAGTTTACTTGGTACACTAGTTTTGTCGTGTTGAACTTGTGCTGGGGGGCAGCTGAGGAACCAGTCTCCCAGTGACGTCACTAACCGAGCACGTGGAATACATGACCGGAAAACCAGACCGGAAGTAAAGGAGGAGGAAGGTGCGAGAAAGATTGGTATTGAATTACGTCACATCTCTTTTAAAAAATCGATGATATTTTCAATTACTTCAATTAATTTTTCCCAAAAATACAAGCATAGTTTTTTAATCCTAGTATTGAAGAATATTGATCGTTTTCTCCATAAATTCAGTAATATTCAAATGATTTTGAAAAATTCCTTTAGTACCCAAGCTCTTTTTTCTTACGCAATAGCTCCAGGAACGCCTTGTTGAAATTGCAAAAAATGATGGATTGAAGATGAATGTCGCTTGCAATTCTAAGAGTTTTTTAACGCGTTTTTTTACTACAAATCCCTTTGCACTATACAGAATCAATGGATTTAGACTGGAATCTTTCAAACTGACCACCGTATTTCGAAAAGAAACAAGTTATCAGCTCCATACCAGAGCAAGGAAAAGACTAGAAAGAATCCATAAGAAGAATGAAGATGTTGTTGCCAGATCACAAGAAGCGCTTAAAAAACTGAGAAGGAAAAAGCTAGAGGGTCTCTCCGAGAACAAAATACCCGAAGATATTCAGCTAGGTGAAAGGTTGCTTAATACTAGATCTATTCGCAGATTACTCAGCATATACAATGCTACCAAAGACAGCAAAGTGCTAAGTGTTAGTAATCAAGTCATAACCCTAAAGAGGATAGCAGAACAATGTGAAAAATATCAGGATGAAAGAGTTCAGATGTCCAAGAGGATATCCTATCAAAAACTTGTGTGTGAGCTCATCAACAATGTGTCAGATGTATGCGATCAGTGTACTTCAAGAGAACTTGTTGACATCATAGTGGCCCTTACATGGTTGGATATGAAGCATTTTTCAATATTTGGCCCAATGGTTAGGGAAATCCATGTGCATGGCTTTGAAAAGTTAAGTGCAGAGGAGATTGGATTACTGTGTTGGGCATTAGGTGTATTGGCAGACGATAATGCATACAAAACGATGGAAGAAATTGGGAAACAACTCTATCAGAGAGAGCTGGTTACATTTTCAAACATGGACCTTTGTCGCATTGCCTGGTCTTTTAGTGAACTGTCTGTTCCTGCAGACACATTGTTAAAAGAAATCTGCAGTGAACTCTTAACAAGAGATTTAAGTCTTTTTGAACCAAAAGCAATTACACACATGAGTTTGGCTTTTTCCAGAATTGATTCATTGGCAGACCATGTTATGCAAGCTATGGAAGATGCTTTGTACTCAGTAATAGAAACCAAGAAATACCCAACAGAAGACCTCGTTTATCTTACGGTTTCATTTCTTAGATGCAACAGAATAAGCAGAAAGATGTTCAGCAAGCTGGACAAAATGCTTATATTTCGAAGAGATTTTGAAGAAACGGTTTCAAAAGAACTACTAGAAGAGCTGTTGATGTTGCTCAAAGAGAGCTCATTTCATATGTCAGAGATAAGGAAAGTTCTTGAAAATGTTCTTTATCCTAGCAAATTAAATTCAGTTTTTGATGTGTTTTTTAGACCAAGAGCTTCTTGGAAAGCTAAATTATTCAAGCAGTATTTGTTTAAAGAGTATTAATTATGGTAACAATTTATAATAACTCTGTTATACTATTAAAAACAAATATATTATGTTTACTATGCAACCTATAAATGAAACTAATCACGAGTTTTGGGTCCAATGTTCTACTTACCTTCCCCTTCCTTGTAGCAAAATATTGTCCTAGGGTAGGGGGAGGGGATATGACATGGGTAATGCTTTTTGGTGTCAGCTCAAAGGAATTCTTGGTGTGCAACCATGACTTAAATTTTTTTGTGAAACTAACAATGAAACCACCTCTATGTAGAGTGATCTTACAAGAGAGGCTAATGAGGACTGACTTTGTTATTGTGAACCAACATAGTGGCTATGACTTAATATGCGTCCCAAGAGTGAAGACATAGACTGACTGGCAGCAATGTTAGATGGTCAGGACTGAACCACAGAATCCCTTTACTCCAGGGAATTGAATTCTTTTTAATTAATCTTTTTTTCCATATCCAAAATGGCTACTGTCATATGATTGCATAAAACCTAAATAGGAAAGCAGAATGATGGCAGAATTGAGGATTGAATAATATATACAGCTATGAGAGATGGAGTATGGTAACCAGTATTTTGCTTCCAGTTTAATAAGTTTGTTCCCCTAATTTTTGTTTCTACAAATGCTGATTTAATAGTGGAGCACTAGCAATGCATATCTCATGCTTCACAGAAGAAAAAAACTAAAAAATATTTTTCTTGAATTTATTCTCTTTTGATTTTAATATTACACCCTAAATAGTTATAATAGTATATAGATAAAGTAAAAAAACGTACCACATTTGGTATTCAAAAACAAGAAACACTCCTAATAAAGTACTTTAACAATACATTTCACATAATCCTATTTACTCCTAACTATTGTACATTTGCTAATTTTGGTAACAAATTGTATATTTTACAAGTACAATACTAGGTTACTAAACTGACTATCAGACTCTTACTTGGACTAGCCTTACCTTTCCTGGCTGAATTAAGGGGGGGGGGGGGGGGGGGNGGGTTTAGGAATAGGCCTCTTTAGCTTGAGCGTAATGTTTTTTTTCCATTTCAGACCACATGTCATTCCGAAGAGTATCTTTTCATGAGAAGACACATGAATATGGATACAACTCAAACACAGAATTTTTTGGTCTGAAATGGTAAAACATTACACCCTAGTTAAAGAGGTCTATTAGAAAGGAAGAGTCTAATACTCAGGTTTAATACTAAGTATAACTTAAGTGTGAAAAGAGTTTTTATTTCATTTGGATTTTTCTTCAGCAACAAGTACTCCTGATGACTTTTCTGGACTTTTTGAGCTATCGGCTGCAGCATTAGTATCCTTTTCTCCTTTCATTTTTATGTTGTGCTTCTCTTTGAATGCAGTCAGATCTTGTTCTTTGGTAATCATTTGCTCCTTTAAGTGGTCCAAGACGAGTCCAATCTGAAAAGAATCACATTTCGTAATGCTACGACAAAAAGTAAAGAGGGAATTCACACTTTCACAGAGATTTTAGAGCTGTCAAAGTTAAAAGAACAATTTCACATAACTTCCCTTGAAAATGCTAGAGTACTACCATATATCTGTGAAAAAGTTAACTAACAAAATTGTACAAATTAGTGCAAAGTTTTGTCGGTCTATGGTTTAGAGTGCATACCATATATCCGTGAAAAACCTTGTTAGAAATTGCACAAATTTGCACAAATTAGTAATCTAAGTAGACCTCAGTAGAACGTACAACAACAAAACTTTGCACTAATTTGTACGACTTTTTTAGTTAACTTTTTCACAGATACATGGTTAGCACTCTAGGTTTAAGACACATATTAACTTAAAAATTATTGTCAAAGGTATTGAWTGATGATTTACCTGTGTCCGGTTTTTTTCGAGAGCAGGCAGGACATCACCTACTGTTCTTTCTACAAGAACCCCACCTATCATCCTGAAACATTTTCTAGACGAATTAACATTCTGGAGAGCTTGTATGACAACACTAAACCAAGAAAAGATAGAAAGGTTAAATATATTATTACAAATATCATCAGCTCGATATGCAAACATATTGTAACATATTGTTTAAATATGACATTTCATTAATATTGTTTTTAACATGTCTGATATTCATTATTTCTTTTATTGTGAAGTGCCATGAATTTTGATATGTGTGCTATATAAGTTCCATTATTATTAATATTATTATTATTATTGCATAAATTCCGTAGCCAGACAACCTAATGAGTAGGTGGTATGAACAAGGTTAGAGTCCTTGCACCCACATCAAACAAAGTAGTAGTCCCAAGAGATAATTCATAGCCACTGGTACAGTTGGTTTGGTTTCAGTTGGTCTGGTTTCAACTGGACCAACAGTCGGGAAAAAATATAAGGAAAATTAAAAAATGTAAGAAAAGCCAAAAACCCTCAAAAACCGGACCAATCAGAAATCAGAAATTTGCGGCTACTGCCCTGAGGAGGTTGCAGGACACTACCCTCTTAAATGATCCTTATTCTTTAGGTGCAGTTGATATCAGTTGGCTAACTTCAGCAAACATTAATTTTTCTATCTTTCTTATTTAAGCCAACATTGGAGCCATGTATTTTAATCATCTATTCTCATGTGAAGAGATGCTGAGCACCAAGGTATAATGATGGCTAGCAGTATTTAACATTCCTCCCAAAGACTGACAGTCAACATGGGGAAGCTTCCAGACTGATTGGTTCACTTCACCAGGAAATTCAGTTACATCAACTGCCACCATTTTCTTTTTAAGAGGTTTAAAACGAGGCACGATTAACAGGCAATGATTGCCAATAAACCCACATGTATTGGGCTTCCTGTGGTGTCATGCCTCAAACACCATTTCACCAACTGCACCAAAGTAAAGATATTTTAAAATTATTGGATTCAAAAGCACTATCTATTTTCTAAATGCCTCAATAATCGTAAGATGATGTGGTTGGAGTTCTCTGTACATAATAAGTTTGAATTTTTTTAACAATTTGACATGTTAGACTTCAGGTTGGATTCATTGCCAAATTCAAGGTTTTTAAGCCTCACCTGTGTTCGTTTTGATCCATCTCTAGCTCATGTATTTTGTTTAAGATATTAGTATACTCTTGTCTTAGTTGATTGAACTGTTGTATGATCTGTTCTTGGGATAATTGACCCTTGCCTTTGACCGCCTTCTTCCCTTCACTGCTCGCCATTTTGGATTCTTGTACTTACCAGTTCTCCTCCGCCACAGGTAACCCACACCTTCTCCTAGACTTGCAATCCATCATGAAACATTACTAGTCATTTAATATCATTTAACGAATTTTATCGATGCTCTGAAACATCTGTACTGATCAAAGCCTTGGAATTGCACGTGTTAAGTTTTCCGGATACAGGGAAACCGAAAAAAACCCTCGAATCAAGGGATGGATCACATTTGATCCCAGCTGAGGTGAGAGCACCGCTTCAAGGTCCCTTTGGGGCTTGGAATATGGAACTTCTCCGTTCAAATCTTTGCCGCTCATTTTGAGCAGTAACGTTAAGCCAGAAGCGAGGTATGACTAAGCTAAGAATAATTTGGCCGTTCATCATGAAGCAGAAATTCCTATCTTTTTATTTTTCAAGCACGCTGTGGAACAAATACTTACATGAAGATGCACGCTTTTTTCCCGAGCACCTTTACTAAGAAGTATATCCAGACATGAAAAAATGGATAGCAAAGTTCAATAATTATTTGCATTTTTATTTTCATTTTAAATACTACAGTTTGCTCACACTTATTTTACCTCTATGTACAATTTTTTCTTCACAAAATGACAAATACTTTAATTTTTTCCCTGTCTATTTGCGAATTTAGTAGATACCTAATACATATTTAGGTAGGTTTTTTTTTAGAAAGACTGCCTGTAGCTTTACGTCGGGATGACAAGATTTTTGGCCAACTCAAGCACTGCAGGAAATATCGTGCAGTCTCCTGGTGAAAACAAAATGGTAAATGGTGAGAAAATAGAGAAAAAGAAAATATTATTATACATATTACTCGTCCGTCTAGTGCTAACTTTTGCATTGTAAGTATATGCCTTGAGGCAAGGAAGCTATATAAGCGTGCAAACATGGAGAAACACTGAGCATCAACGAAATTCAATATGGCGGCTCTTCCAGCAACAACTTCGTCATGACGCCTTACTAAATGTCGAAAATTTGACGAAAAACGCCTGTCGTCGAACTGCAGTTTGAGGTTTGCGGTACCTAGCAAGAACGTCGGTCTCTAATAAGTGATATAGTTTACCGGTCTTAGAGGCGGGAGATTCATTCCATCTTTTCAGCAGAGCATTAACTGCAGCCTCAGCAGATGAGGTCGGCGCGCTGGCTTGTCGTGATACATCCACTTGCTGAGTAGTGTTAGTCTTTGGGTCGAATAACAGAGGGATCATCACTGAATCATCTAAGGGACTAGTACCTTGGGAGCTGGCTTTTTTTAGTTGAATCTGGTGTGATAAATCATCAGATAAAGGAAGATTGAGTATGTATTTAGGGATTACAAGACGCTTTCTTTGAACTCTACACAATACACTGAGGTCAGAGCTCAATATCAGTATTACTTACAAATATGAAGAGCTTAGCTTTAAAGACAACCGCTGGTGTTCCTGGAGTAGCCGGCATCTCCGGTGCATCGGGTGGGATACTCAAACACCACTCTACACGCCACTTGTGACTTTGATCAGGAATCTGTGCACAAATAAAAATCACACTATCAAAAATATGAGGTCGCTTAAAACCTTAAAAATGTTATCGATACCCTGAAACCTCTGGGCTGACGTAAGTCAGGGTACGGCTAACTCACAGATCAAACCCTGAAACAACCTCTGGGCTGCTCTAAGTCACTGAGGGCATGGCTAACTCACAGATCAAACCCTGAAACAACCTCTGGGCTGATCTAAGTCAGGGCATGGCTAACTCACAGATCAAACCCTGAAACAACCT